AGCTGCCCCTATACCGTGTCAGTCTAGGAACAATTACAAGCCGGAGGTGCGGGAAACGTGCAGACCCAACATTGCCACTGTATGACCGATCACTCCAGGTAAGTTTTCGTGCCAAATATCCCGGGGTGTTCGAAACTCTCAGTGTATGCACCAAACTGTTCAATTTTAAAATAAACCTATTTTTCATATTTAATAAATTGTAACTATTTAAAAAAGGGGTGATATGAGATCGTGGCGGAACCTTAAAACAATATCTAATACAGGAGTTTTGAACTCTCTGAATTTTAGCGCAAGTTTTCTTGTTTAGACACGGCCAGTACACGATATCTAAGTAATCTAGAATCGATAATACTAAAGAGTTTGTCAGAGTTATCCTTACAGCTTCACTTATAAAAGGTCTAATTTTATAAATATGTTTCAGCGAAGCGTAACACTTACTTATTTTAGAATCTACATGTTTCTCGAAATAGAGTGAACCATCGAGTAACAGACCCAAGTTCCTAACTGTAGGGACTTCAAAGATCCTCTGTCCATCTACCGTGATAACAGGAGCGGCATTCCTCACTATCTCTATCTGTCTACGTGTACCCAATATTGTATAGGAACATTTTTGGGCATTAAGGAGAAGATCATTTTTGTTCGACCATTGTCCAACCTTCTCTAGATTCTGATTAAGGAAGCTGACAGCATGATTAATACTTGTACTCGACAAGTCCGTATGAAAAAGTAATTGTGTGTCATCTGCATACATATGAACAGATCCAAAACCAATACATTTTTGGAGATCAGCAGTATAAATAGAATAAAGAGTCGGGCCAAGAATTGATCCCTGAACCACTCCTGTACCCACTTCTAATGATGTAGACAGGATCCTCCTACCATTCAGATCCGTACCTTCAGTTATCTGAGCTCGCTTATCAAAGTAACTCCTAAACCAAGACAAAGCAACATCATCACATCCATAATATTTTAACTTGTCAATTAAAAATTTTCTATTTATACAATCAAATGCACGACTGTAATCTAGCAGAACAAGAACAGAAGCACGGTTATCATTTGAGGCTACCAATATATCATCCACGACATGCAACAAAGCAGTAGTGGTACTATGTCTCTTTCTAAAACCAGACGGACATTCTGGTAAGATGTTATTATTTTCCATGTATTTAAGCAAACTCGTGTTCACGGCTTTTTCCAGAATCTTAGATAATACTGGTAACAGCCCTATAGGTCTAAGATCCTTGATAGTCTCCACAGTGCTACTTTTCGGAATCGGTTTAACAATAGCGGTTTTCCATTCTGCTGGAAATTCTCCACTCTGTAAGGACTTATTAATAATAGCTGTAATAGCATCCAAAGAATACGGTAGTGTAAGATTAATCATAGTTAATGAAATTTCATCAGTACCCATGGCATTAGAAGATATGGAGTTTAAAAACTTGTTTATCTCTTCAGAAGTGAATTTGGGAAAACTATAAGTGTTACTGTTAAACCGACCCGCAAAATAAGGATCATTGACGCACAAACAACTAGGTGGAACAGCATCTATGAAAGACTTGTTAATGATATCCGGATCAGTCAAATGAGGCGGCAATGTGAACTGCTTTTTACTTCCAAGCACTGAATTGACCTCTTTCCACATTTGACGTGAATTTTTGGTGGATCGATTGATTTTATAGGAAAAATAGTGTCGCTTCTCACTTTTGATCGTATTGTTTACCATGTTGCGTAATGATTTATACATATCTCTGTCAGCTTTACTTTTAGATTTTTTAGCACGTTGACAAGCTGTATCCCTATCTAACATCATGGCTTTGATACTGTCTGTCATCCACGGTGATGGAGGCAACTTAAACCGCGTTGTTCTTTCTGGAACGAAATGATCAAAAAGACCAAGTATGAGATACCGAAAGCATTCTACCATGTCCTCAACACGTTCATTATTCAATACAAGATCCCAAGGCGTTATAGCAGATGCAAACTTATAAGTTTTTATATCAAACTGTTTAAAAGGTCTATAAGTTATAAGCCTGGCTGGGGGTTTCGGAACTTTTATAGAAAATTGCGACAACACAAATGCATGGTCGCTCAAATCATCGTTATGAAGAACAATAGAATGCTTGGGCTTCACAGTGCGACTACAGCAAATTACATCCAAGAGGGTCTGCGTGGAAGATGTAATTCTAGTAGCGTCAGCCCCTACCTGTTGCAAATTGAAATTTTCAAGTAAATTGAGGAATGCAGACTGATTACTGCCACCACTGGCCATTAAGTTAGTATTTATATCTCCTGTCAAAAAAACATAATCAAATTTCGGGATAATAATAGACAGAGCGTCATTCAAATTGTTCAAAAAATTGCCATAAGTATACTTTGGTGGTCGGTACACCACACCAATTGCCACCTTGTGTTTATTAAGTTTGAGTTGATACCACAGCTGTTCAAGGTCACTAGAAGGGATTGGAATCTCTTTAACACTAAAATGGTCACGTATGTAAAACCCTATACGTCCGCCGTCACGCTTTTTGCCAGTATTTCTCGGTCTGTGAACCAGCAATATCCTTCAATTCCATAGTATTTAGATTCCGACCCATTTGTAAGACGAGTCTCAGTCACTCCCAGCACGTCCGGCTTATACGTCTCCATAACCTTTAACAGCTCATCCCTCCCAGTATTCAGAGATTGAGCATTCAAAGTAGCGACACTAAAATCTTTTATCTTACCTAACATTTATATTTATTTCCATTATTATCAACATGAATTTAAAAAGTTTCGTTCCAGTTATATATGTTTTTTCAAACACGAACAACCAATCATACAAACATCTAGGAATATAATTAAGTTGAATTAAGACAAAGGCAAAAAAAACTATTATCCTTATAAAATATAATAAACATAAAAATGAATGAAAGCGGAAGCAAATGTAACTATGAAGTAAAAGTATGGTATAGTTAATTAAACTTACATTGTATTACATGGTTAAGACAGATAAATTTTATAAGGGGTTATTTTAAATTATTCAAGCAATCAATCGATTTTAATTGAATAGGAGTAGCGTTATCGGTTTTGCGCACATAGACTCGTCCGTGCTTTACCCATACATATAAGGATTGCATTTTTGTCGCGCGATGTAATCGGCCGTGTTTAAATAAAATAATATTTTAAATACTTACATAATTGTGACCTAGCTCCACTTTATGCGGGAGCAAATTATCTGTGTCAGTACAGTACGTGTTCACGTTTGAGTAATTTATTGGAAGTAATAATGTTCAATGCTTCTTGTAAACATTAAAACAAAAAAATGGAAGGCAGTCCCTTTAATCGGAGTGCACTAACGCGCCGCAGCCCGCCGCCAACGCCCTCGTCTCAACCCCCCGCGCCCGCAGAGTCCCTTCAGAACGAGGATCCTCCAGATGTGGTATCCACGCCTGAGATCCAGAACTGGATGAGTGCAATAGAACAATGCTTGAACGAGGTATGTGCTATTTCTACCGAAGGCAAGCTAAATTCAGACCAAAAGCTCAGAATTAGCACTTTGTGCCGAAAAGTGGCAAATGGGACGTCTCAATTGGCAGTACAGTACCAGTCCCTAAAACAAAAAGCCGTTCAAGCATACTCATCCCTTAAAGCACTTAAAGAAAATCAAGACCTGTCGCAGCGACTTCAAGACCTAAAGCAGCGTATTGAAGAATCAACAAACCCTCTCTCAAGTACAGTTTCTTTTGCAGACATGGTAAAAAAAAGCTCCAATAATTTTGTTCAGCCTAATAAGATAAGCTCTGTAGCAATTTATCCTACTGACAAATTGAAATCTAGTGATGAAACAAAAAATCTGGTTCAAAAAATTATCCGACCTGAAGAAATGAAACTGCACGTAAGAGGGTTACGCAAAACTAAGAACGGCGGTGTTATTATAAGCACTGACTCCAAAGACGACCTAGAAAAGCTGAAACAGGTGGCCCAATTAAAAACCTCCGGCCTTACTGTTGACGAGCCACATAAGCGCAAACCCAGAATTGTGATTATTGGTGTGCCTACATCTTTGCAGGAAACCGAAGTAGTGAACTGTATATTTCAACAAAATTTAGCCGACAAGCTGCAGGGTATGTCTCTTGAGTCATTTTTAAATAATATTAAATTAAGCCATAAGTCTGGAAAGAAAAATACCGAGTCCTGCAATTACATATTTGAAGTCGCTCCACGTATACGTAAGGCCCTAATAACCAACGATAGAGTCTTTGTCAACTGGTTGTCGTGTCCTGTAAGAGATTTTACTCTAGTTACTAGGTGCTTTAAATGTCAGCAATATGGTCATGCTGCCAAGACCTGCCGGGAGGAGGCCACCATCTGCGGCCACTGTGGTGAAGCCGGTCACACAATAAAGGACTGCACTAAGAAGACCGAACCTCCTAAATGTGCTACATGCTTGCATTTCAAGAAGACCTGCGACCACCAAACAGGAGATTTTAATTGTCCCGCGAGAAAAATGGCCGAAAAAAGGTACATTAATTCAATAGATTATGAAGGCGCCTAAGAGCGTCACTCACTAATTTTACTTAATAGATCTTAATTTAATTATACACTATGAGTGATAGTTTGGTTCGCGATCTAGATAATTTCTCTGTATCAGAGTCAAAGTCTTGTGAAGTTGAAATGTGCAGACAATATTTATTACCCTTTAACAACCCTCTCTCTATACTAACACAAAACATACGCAGCATTTACAAAAATTTTGACGCTTTTAGCACTTTTCAGCATAGAATGAACATTGGCTGTGATGTCATAATTCTGACAGAGTGCTGGTTAGATAAATGTAGAAATCTACCTCCCATGCCAGGATATAGCTTATACAGCTCTAAAGAAAATTACAACCAGAACGACGGTATAGTGGTTTATACTAGGAATAATTTAAATATCTCGGTTGAAGAACCAAGTATGTTGGACTGCAATCGGCTCCTAATCAAAATTGGAACAGACATTGCAATATTAGCATTGTACAGACCCCCCTCTTTTAGAAATACCAAAATGTTTACTGACTCACTTAACGATACGTTACAACTTTTATCAACTTTTAAAAATGTAGTATTAATAGGAGACATAAACATAAACATTCTCCCACATAGCATCGATTCCTGTGCGCAAGAATACCTAAACCTATGCTCTTTTCATGGATTACTACCCGCCCACACTCTCCCTACACATCAAAGCGGCTCTTGCTTAGACCATATTATGCTTAAATCTATTTTTAAATCAATAACATTAGTTACTAACTCTACAATAACCGATCATAAAGCTGCCCTACTAACCTTAAATTGTAAATTGCTTAATTCGACTCGCACGCAAATAATTTCTAAAATTAATATAAATAAACTTGAAGAAGATTTATGCAACATTGACTTTAACCCAGTTTATAATTCTGATGACGCGGATTATTGTATGTCTTACTTAGTAAATAATGTACAGCAATCAATATTAAGTAATAGCAAGGTCATGCGATTAAATAGTAAAAATTACAATATCAAACCTTGGATTACACCAGGACTTATTCGCTGTATGCGTCATAGGGATAAACTACATATGAAGGCAAAAAGTAATCCAGCTAATTTAATTCTACAAATATCATACAAAAGATATAGGAACTTTTGTAACGATCTACTTAAAAAAGTTAAAAGCTGTTATGATAAAAAAGAATTGGAAAAAGCTGGTACAGACAATAAAAAAGATGGGACATAAAAAAAAAAAGTAACCTACATATCGAAACAGCATAAATCATCTACAGGATTATTAAAAAGCCACTCATCTGATCGTACTGCTGTTAACAAAGCAAATGAATTTTTCGTTAATGCAGGTAAAAATCTGGCACAAAAAATCCAGAGTTTTCCGCTTACTCAACCACGTTACTCTCAACCAATCTGTAGTAAGTCTCTGGGATCATTTGTATTATTAGATACGGATGAAAGTGAGGTTGAAAGAATAATTGTAAGCTTAAAAAACGATAGTGCTACTGGTTGTGATAACATATCTAACAAAATACTAAAACAATTCAGGCACATTCTACTTTCACCGCTTACGGTCATTTTGCAAAAATGTTTAACAAAAGGAATATTCCCCACGTGTTTAAAAAAAGCTGTTGTGGTCCCGGTACATAAATCTGGTAACCAAGAACAAATAACTAATTATAGACCTATTTCGTTACTGCCAGCAATATCTAAAATATTAGAAAAACTTATTAACAATAGACTTGTCTTGTATTTGGAGAGACATTCCATATTATCTAAAACACAGTTCGGTTTTAGATCTAAATTATCGACATCTGACGCCGTGCATCACCTTACGAATTTTGTAGCAAGGGAACTAGACAAGGGTAACAAAACTGTGGGTATTTTTCTAGACCTAGCGAAGGCTTTTGATACAGTTTACATCTCTGTGCTGTTACAGAAGCTTGAATCGCTTGGTATAAGGGGCATACAGCTTAAATTACTCGAAAACTACCTGGAGGACCGATCCCAATGTGTTAAAATAGGTGACATTCACAGTTCTGATCTGAAGTGCACTTCATTTGGAATTCCTCAAGGAAGTATTTTAGGACCAACACTTTTTCTGATTTACATTAATGACCTTTGTAACCTAGATTTACAAGGTGGAAAGATCATATCCTATGCTGATGATACTGTTCTACTCTTTTCTGCAAACTCTGACAAGGAGGTATACGACTATGCACAGCGTGGATTCAATATAGTAAATAACTGGCTCCAACATCATTTGCTAACACTAAATACGGATAAAACTTGTTTTATGCAATTCCATATGCGGAAATGAAAGTCATTTATATCTAACCCTAAACTATAATTATGCTCACCATTGTTTTGACCCTACTAACAACCTGTGTAAATGTCCAGACATTGCTATTACTAACAAGATAAAGTATTTAGGTGTTATATTAGATGACATCCTATCCTTTAAACACCATATCGAAGCACTAAGCGCCCGACTCCGTAAGTTAATGTTTGTGTTTAAAAAACTACGCGTTTCTGCTGATTTTAAAATAATCAGGCAAGTTTATTATGCATTATGCCAATCATTAATTACTTACTGCATTACATCATGGGGTGGTATAGCTAAAACTACTTTACTAATCATTGAAAGAGCCCAGCGAGCTGTCCTAAAGGTTTCTACCTACCGCCCTTTCCGTTACCCCACTGACCTTCTGTATAAGTCATGTAAAGTATTAACTGTAAGGCAATTATTCATTAAGTCCACAGTCCTCAAACAGCACGTATTGCTCCCATATATTACTGAAAACACTAATAAAAGACGAAAAGATATTGTCTGCCCCAAAATTATATCATCAAAACATACTTTTATTTCAAGATTTTTTGTGTTTCTTGGACCATTTTTGTACAATAAATTAAACGCTAAATATTCCATTTATAATTTCTGTTGCTTTAAGGTAAAGAAAATTCTCCAAGAAGCTCTTCAAAATATGTCCTATGAGGATACAGAGAATTTATTTATTATCGTAAATTAAATGTTGTCTTGTTTAAGTGTACATTTTTTATTTATTTTTTTTTATTTTTTATTTTTATTGGCAATTTATTATTTAATTGTTTAATTTTATTTCATAAGATTCTCCTAAAAAGTATTTATAATATTAATAGTATCCACATTTATAATTAGTAGTACTTTTTACCTGAAATACAGGAATTTCCTAGTTCAGGTACATGTGTTATTTTGACATTAAATCGCATAAGTAGTCTTTAGTTTTCTCTGTACATTATGTTACTGAATAAACAATTTTATTTTATTTTTATTTTTTTTATATGCATACGATTTCTCCTTAGCAATTTTTCGAGCTGCAGCATGCAACTTTTTGACTTCGGGTGGGTAATGCTCCACCACATAGATTCTACGTTCGTTTCCAGGAATGCCCAGAGTTGAAGAGTTGAAAGGGCTGGATGAATGTTCCTTGTTATAATTTTTAAATGCAGAAACTATGTTATCTCGTAGGAATTGTGAATTAACCGAGGCAAGTATTATAATAATAAATAATAATAATAAATAACGCACACACTCAACATGGCCCCGCACTAGGGAAACCCTGTATCGCGGGTGCCATGGACACACACATAGACAACCACAAATTACACCCAAACTCATGAGAGAAATAATTGTAGGCCATACAACTATTTCTCCCGGCCCGGGAATCGAACCTGGGACCTCTGCGTGGCAGTCCGGCATGGTAACCGTTCGGCCACGGAGGCAGTTAATTTTTAAAATTATATTATTATATATATATTATATATTTGTATTATTTTAACATCGTGGATGGAGACTTTTTCTCTTTGACCGTCACACACAATGGACACAGTTTTTGATTTCTTTGTCAAATATAACCAAGTATTTGTCATTTGAACTCGTTTCCATACTACGTCACTTGTCAAATTGTAACTTTTTATCGGGCAGTCTGTATAGTTTTCATTTTTAGTTATAAGTCTAACAATGCAATTTTTATTCAATTGCATGTTTTTCACCGCCCGCAGGGAAACAGATGAAGTGTTGTATCTGTGCAAACAACTTTTGAATTCTTCATGAGTAAGTCCAAAGTAGCGTTCATTATTGTAGTCTATTCCTATAAAAGGCTGAGAAGGGTCTATGCTTTGGAATGTTCCATCTGGATGTTTCACTGGTACGGGCGTCACGTGTAACAATGTGTATTTTGCTTTCTCTGCTATCGGGAAGTAAGATAGTACTCTGATATGCGTCTCATTTTCTGCTAATTTGGTGTCAATCAGCTGCGTCTGTATGATGTGGAGATTGGAGGGTAATTTGCTATTTGCGTCTTCTATTATGTCAGCTATGCCTTTTGGAGATATTACACTATATACAGTAGCTTTTGCTAGATATATCTCCATCAGTCCTGAGTAGTAGTCCATAATTTCTTTAATGTAATTATAAGCTAATTGGTATGACTGCATTACTTGAATTTGTATGCGATCCGCGTTGATTGACTTATACCATCTATTGTTATCATTAATGTAACTTATAGCTTGATTTAGCTTTGTTCGAAATCTTTCTAGCTTTCCTTGTATTCTCTGTTCTGTCTGGTTCACTGCTGATATGGTGGAAATCATGAATTTGGTTTGATGATTTGCTGTATCTATGAGATTTTGCTGGTTTTGTTGCAGTGAGTTAATGTCTCTATACACTTCATCGTTCACACCAAATATGGAAGTCAAGAGATGTCCTAATAAACCTCTTCTTTTTCTGGTAATATAATAACGCATACACTCAACATAGCCCCGCACTAGGGGAACCCTGTGTCGCGGGTGCCATGGACACAAACATAGACAACCACAAATTACACCCAAACTCACGAGAGAAATAAATGTAGGCCATACAAATATTTCTCTTGGCCCGGGAATCGAACCTGGGACCTCTGCGTGGCAGTCCGGCATGGTAACCGTTGGGCCACGGAGGCAGTTAGTGGTGTGATTAATTTCGGCCAAGTAATCGTATGTTCTTTGAAATGTGTTCTCTTCTTCTCGCAGGTGATCATAG